TTTTCCGGCACTGGAACTAAAGTTCCTTAGTCCACATCACTACATACGTTTTGCTTTGTTATCCTAACCCATCTTGGACAAAAGAGCGTTGATTTTTCACTAAATATAACTGGTAATGGAGAAAGCTGTTTCACCTGGTATACTACTAGGTGAAATTGCTATATAACGTTTTGCAATACTATTCATTCCACACAAGATCAACACCGTTCATATAAAATAAAGTTAACTTTTACCAGAATATTCGCGTTCACGTTCAAAAAACGTCATATTTAGCGTTCACGCTCAAGGAACGCCAACGTGCTTTAGCGTTACGTTCAAAGAGAACGCTAAAAAGGAACGCTGAACTTTTGCAGGCCTAGTTTAAATCCAAAAAACGTCTCATTTTCAAAACAACTTCCTGTGCAACAAAGATGACATATTAAGAACTGTTCTTTTCACTTTCCTATTGAAAACTTTCAAAAAATAATATCTTCACATGAAAAACTTTTGAAAATAACTCAGTTTGTAGAAAACACTTGATATTATAATCGAACTTGTCTAATACAAAAAATGAAATTATTTTCTTTCAAAGAAGAGAAAATGCTTCAACAAAGTGTACTATCCAAAGTATTTCACAGAATATTCCTTTCACAAAAAAGTTCTGATTATAAATGATTTCACAGCTAAACTTATCTATTGCTAATGTAAAAGAATTATAGAAAACGTTCAATTTTTATTTATCTCATTGTTTGTGCATTTAGTCCGATTGTGCAAAAAAATAAATAGAAATCAAAATCAAGTTGTTGGTAAAAATATTTTCTTGCCTATATTCTAGAAAACGTATCCTTTCTGGAAGACACAACGATTATCAATCATAATGAAGTTGAAATTCAACACACGAAACTAAATAGAAATAAGCAACAAGAATCAGACGGATTAAGATGGAGATAAGACAACAATAGACAAAATAGATTGAGAAAATTTAACGGGAAGCACTGATAAAAGATATTCAATTTAAAACTTGATTTTGTCTGATATTTATCGAAGAGAGAAAAATAGATTCGATTGTTAATTTTGTTATAAAGAATACATAAAAGAAAAAAAAAAAAAGAAAAAAGAAAATATTTCTAATCTAAAGTAAGTGTTTAGAGAATTTATTTATTTGTTTTTCGATTAATCGATTAAAAATGAATAAATTTTCATAATATATATATATGTCTATTTTTCTAATTAGAGAAAAATATGAGATTTTAAGGATAAATACATTTTTGTACATGTGTTGCTCGTTCATCATTTTTTTCATCCAATAATCTTGTAATAATATGTGATCCAAGACCCCATGAATCAATTGTAATATTAACTAAATCATTTGGTAAACTATCATTATCTTGTATTCTTGCATAAATTTTTACTTTTTTACCATATTTTAATACAAAATATTTTGGTAATGAATAAATAATTTCTTGTTGATGATCAATAATACGTAAAATTTGCCAATTACTTAAACTAATATCTTTGGTATTCGATGTATTAGCTAATTGTATATATTTACCATAGAGTGAACATTCATCAATGGTAATTGATCCTATCAAAAAACAAAAAAAAAATGAATATTTTATTGTTATATATTTATCAAAAAAAAAAACAATTCATACCTTTAGAAGTACGTTGAAATTTTATTATATAATGTGATTCACTTTCACTATATTGTACTATATCCGAATCATCTATTCTAATAATTGGTATTGATTTAACATGTCTATATGTCTGGATAGTTGTCTGTGTATTTGTATCGTGTATTTCTAATAAACGTCTATAAATATTTATTTCATATTCTAATGTTGTTTTATTGCATTTAATTTCATCATTCGATGTTGTTAAAGAAGTTAATGTTCGACGTAATTTATCTAATTCACGTTCATGTTGATTAATTTCATCGGTATTTTCTAAAAAAGAACAAAACATGACGAAAATTAAATAATAAAATGTTAAAATAAAAACAAAAAAAAGAAGTTATGTAAAAGAAATAGTATGAAGATTTACGTTGTTTTAATGATTGAAATATGATTTCTAATTCATTTATTCGAGCTAAAGAATTTTTATTCTCATTTTCTAATATATTTAATTGTTTTCTTCTTTCTGTAATTGTTTCTTTCATAGTTATTATTGATTTATTAGAATTTTTAGTTTCATCTTTAATTTGTTTTTGTTGTTGTTGAGATTGCTGTACAAGTTCTTCTACTTTAATACTATAATAATTTTTTAATTGATTTTGTTGAAAATGTGCTAATTTATTAAAATCATCACGTATTTTTCTTGTAGCATCTTTTAATTCATTTTTATAAAATGTTGTTAAATCAATATCAATATGAATTGATGATAATAATTTTAATTCATTTATTTCTTCTTTATGTATTGTTGATAAAAATAAAATTTTCTCTTTTAATGTGCATTTTTCATGTTCAACTTTAAGTCGTGCTTTTATTCCAGAATCTAATTCAATCGTTAAACGATCAATTTCATTCATTGAATGAATCATTTCTGTACGACATTTTTCAAGATTCTTTGTTGAATCATTCATCAAATGATGTAAATGTTCTAAATTAATAAATAAAAGTTAATCAAATATTCGTAATTAGAATTATTCTGGGAATAACAAGTGTCAATAACAAGGAAAAATACCGAAAAACTTTCAAAAATCAAGTTTTTAAATTTTAATTCGGTAAAGAAAGGTCGAAAATAAAATTCCAAAATTATACCTTTGCGCTATGATCTTGAAGTACCTCTGGTAAAATTTTTAACTATATCGGACGAAATTTAAGAGGGGGGGGGGGGCGTAATGTGGGCCATTGATGCCGGGTTGGAAATTAA